TTCTTTTGAAGTTAAAAAAAATAAAATAAGGCCGGCTTCAGTAGCCTACTCCTGTAATCGCTGTGGCCAGGGAGGCTGAGGTAGAAGGATGGCGAGTTCAAAGCCAGCCTCAGCAACTTAGCGAGGCCCTAAGCAACTCAGTGAGACCTGATAGACATGGTACCTGGTACACGTTTAGATTTTTCTGGCAATAACTTCAGAGCTCTAGGGCCTGGGAAGGATCTGGTCACTCTTTTCTACTTAGAATGTAGCCGGCCAAAAGGTATAACCGATGATGCTTATGGGGAGCTGCTGGCATTATACGGGAAAGGGTTCAAAGGGACCAGAGTTCTGTCAATTTTTTCTTCACTATGCTACAACTCAATTGCAAAAAAAAAAAAAAAAAAGCCAATTACAACAAAAAGTAGAACTGATGACCACTTCCGACCTCAGGAGGAGGCTGAAATCAGAAGCAGGAGACAGACTGAGATGGGCCTCTCACATAGGAAAGAGCCACATGTAGGGCATCCTTCCTCACCCGGAGCGGCAGGGCTGGACCAGCAGGGGTGGCCGTTTCCTGCCAGAACTGTGTGGGGCTGTGTTTGCACCCTCTTCTGGGTCTTGTCACTTTACTCACTGTTCCTGATTCAGTGCTTGCAAACACCATGACCTCAGTGTAGTTCGATCCTACCTGGAATCTCTTTCTTTCTTTTTTTTTTTTCCTAAGGAAGTTAGTTTTGTGGGGTTTTTTTTAACTTTATTTTTTTTAATATTTATTTTTTAGTTATAGATGGACACATATCTTTATTTTATTTTTTGTGGTGCTGAGGATTGAACTCGGTGCCTCACACGTGCTAGGCAAGTGCTCTACCACTGAGCCACAACCCCAGCCCTTGAATCTCTTTCTCTGCCATTAGCTCTTCCTTTTTCAGGCAAGATGCTTGCCCCTTCACTGTCCTCATAGAACACACTTCCAGAATATTCTTTTTTTTTTTTTTTGTACCCGGGATTGAACTCAGGGGTGCTTAACCACTGAGCCACATCACCAGCTCTGTTTTGTATCTCAGGGTCTCACTGAGTTGCTTAGAGCCTTGGTAAGTTGCTGAGGCTGGCTTTGAACTTAGGATCCTCCTGAGTGCTGGGATTACAGATGTGCACCACCACACCTGGCTCAGAATATTCTTTATCCTCATCATTGGTATCCTTCCTAAAATTCAATAGCTAGGAGGCTGGGACTGTAGCTCTGTGGCAGAGTGCTTGCCTAGAATGCATGAGGCACTGGGTTCGTTCCCTAGTACCACATAAAAATAAATGACTAAAATAAAGGCATGTTGTGTATCTACAACTATATTTTTTTTAAGAATTTAATGCCAGAATTAAAAATGATGTACTACACCTGCTCCTAAATAACAACAGGGTCATAGGGCCTGGCACAGTGGTGCACACCTGTAATCCCAGCAGCGCAGGAGGATAGTGAGTTCAAAGCCAGCCTCAGCAACTTAGGGAGGCTCTAAATAATTCAATGAGACCCTGTATCTAAAAAAAGGGTGGGGACTCAGGCTCAGTGGTTAAGTACAAAAAGATAAAGTAATAATAATAAAAGAGGGCCACAATTTCCCCTGCTTTGGGGAAGCAAGGAAGATCATTAAGACTAAGTACAAGTCCGTTGCTGTCAAATAAAGATGAGCCTAAGGGACGGAAGGCTGGTCCCAGTCGCAGAGCCCCAGGTTTGCATTCACGACAGGAGCTTGCCTTGTCTTCCCCGAGAGGAAACGGATTTGACTGGTGTCCCTCTCTGGATTGGAACCGCATGTGCGTGGTAAGAGGAGAGTAGGCGTATTTAAAGGTTGATCATTTCAACTGTAGCAAAACTCCCACCAACTGCCAAGCATCAACTTGACAGAGCAAAGGAGGGAGTTTCTAGCTGAGAACAACTCTTGCCAGAGCCCGCTCTGACCAGCCATGCTTGAATCCCTCCAGCTTTTCCGCTAGCGATGAGGCCATCGGGAGATCCCAGGGAGGAATTTGGGCTCCGGTGATCCCCTAGGAGTCCGGACTTCTTTGCCTCTTGGCAGAGAGCATGAGAAAACCCAGTTCTTAAATTCTAGGCATTTTAGTTGGTTTCCTTGTAATTGGATCTGATTGTAGCCCCCATTTCCCTCCATGGCTTAAAGAAGAAACTCAGTGAGAAAGTCCTGCATGGTGCAAAGTGATACCTGAGAAAGACAGAAACAAGGCCCRGCTGTAATCCCAGAGGCTCGGAAGGCTGAGGAAGGAGGATCGCAAGTTCAAGGCCAGCCTCAGCAAAAAGCAAGGCGCTAAGCAACTAGTGAGACCCTGTCTCTAAACAAACTACAAAAAAGGTCTGGGGATGTGGCTCAGTGGTTGAGTGCCCCTGAGTTCAAGCCCTGGTACCAAAAAAAAAAAAAAAGACAAGCCACCTTCTTGCCTGGACTCGATTTTGGAAGAGTCATAGAGAGGACTGATTTAGGATGAGGAATCCTTTAGTACAAATGGTAATCACACCAAATCTGGAAAGCTTTCCTGAAATCCCTCTAAAGGTCACAGGGACAGTTTCCTTCTCCCACCAGCTCTGGCAGGCTTTCAATATACCTATGTTGGTTTTCAGGTTGACCAATCTGGTCTTTTCCTCTGCTTATTTCGCAAGCACTTTGAAGCCAGAACTGGCCACAGGCTTTCTCTCAGTCCCTCCCTTCCCAGATTTTCCCTGAGTTTCCTTTCAAAGTCAGGTAGCCCATGAGTCACAGGGAGATAACTGTTTGCAAGAGTGATGATACAACTTTTGCTCTCATGACATTTTGTGGGCGGCACACATGCAACAAAAGGTACTGAATTGCAATTGCAATTGGTGCTACAAAGAACAAGAGTAGAGCCCAGCACAGTGGCCCACACCTGTAATCCCTGCAGCTTGGGAGGCTGAGGCAGGAGGATTGTGAGTTCAAAGCCAGCCTCAGCAACTCAGTGAGGTTCTAAGTAACTGAGTGAGACCCTGTCTCTAAATAAAATATAAAAAGGACTGGGGATGGGGCTCAGTGGTTAAGTATCCCCAGATTCAATGCCTGGTACAAGAAARAAAGAGAGAGGGGAAAAAAGAGTAGGTTTCTTAGAGAATCTTAAACCAAAGAAAACAGGAATGATTTGGGTGCTGGCAAGAATTCTCCCCCTCCACCAACTTTAAAGTTTACTAAGCACTTTCTCCCATATTCTCTCACTTGATCACATATAAGCCGCACAAAGTACGGTTTTATTATCCTATTCTAGAAATCTCATCGAGGCTAATGAACTTGACACGGTTTCTCCAGGGTCAACTGGCTGGGACACTTACCAAAATTTTGACACTTGGTTTTGGACTCTTTCTTAGGGCTTCATTATCTGCCATCAGGGGGGAGTTGAAAGTTTGGAAAGGGACACTGGGAAAAGGGGAGAGGATAGGTCTCCTCAGGGTGACTTTCTGGGACATATTTGGATGAGGGCTATGAAGACTGATATCGATCTCAACCAAATGGTAAAAAACAAACCTCCCTGAAACGTCAGCAGATATTCTGACTACCCTGTGCCCGCGGCAGTCTCTGAAGTTTCTGGTAAAACTGGAAATGCTCTCCAACCAGAAATACAGTCCCTCCATGCCACACGGAGACACACAGAATATCAAACACGCTCCCTCAAACCCAGCAGTTCCTCAGCCTCTCACCCACGTGTGTCTATGAATCCTTAGTGACAGCGTGTCCCAGGCACCATATCCCAGGACTTTATGTGCACTCCCCCGTTCACCAACCCCTGAGAGAGGTATTATTAGTGTCTCCATTTTGCAGATGAGGCCAGTAAGGTTCAGAGAGATGAAATAACCTGCCCAAGATCACACCGTTCCCAGTAGAGCTGGATTTGAACCCAGGTCTGACTCCAAACTCTATGTCCAAACATTACTCTCTACCACATGCACTCTCCCCAAACTAAAAATGAGTCACAGAGCCACTTCCTGCACTTTCTACCTGTTTTTTGTTTGGTTTGGTTTGTTTGTTTTGTTTTAGCACCTAAAACCAGAATGAGGCATAATAGCAGCTTTGGGACAGTTTTGAAAGGCTCTGGTACCCGACCCTCAGACACCATGTCCCTCTGGGTCCTTCACTCACCCCATTGCATTCCCTCCTCTTGAAGATCTAGGTTAATGGACCCTGAGAACTGACAGATTCAATCCAGGCAACCTGCAGCCAAATTACACCAAGGCCCAAGGTGTAAGAAGTGCCAGTAATCTTAGTTGCTTCTCTAGACTAGTGAACCCTTTGTCCATCCGTTTGGGTTTAGCTAGAGTCATTTTTCTTCTTTTTAAAGATAGGTGGTACACACCCGTAATCTCAGCAACCCAAGAGGCTGAGGCAGGAGGATCACAAGTTGGAGGCTAGCTTTCTCAACTTAGTGAGGCCCTACGCTACTTAGCAAGACCCTATGTCATAATGAAAAATACAGAAGGGCTGCGGATGTGGCTCAGTGGTAAAGTGCCCCTGGGTTCCATCCCTAGTACCAACCACAAAAAGAAAGAAAGAAAAAGGAAAATAAAAATAAAGATAGGGGGAAATGCAAATCTCCCACACCAGCCCCAGAATCTCAATCAGTAAAAGTGTGTGCTCTTTCTCTCTCTCTCTCTCTCTCTCTCTCTCTCTCTCTCTCTCTCTCTCTCTCYCTCCCTCCCTCCAAAGCAGTGGCTAGGGATTTATTTTTTTATTTTTTTATATTTATTTTTTAGTTTTTGGTGGTTCGGTGGACACAACATCTTTGTTTGTATGTGGTGCTGAGGATCGAACCCAGTGCTGTGCGCATGCCAGGCAAGCTGGCTACCGCTTGAGCCACATCCCCAGCCCAATTTTTTTATTTTTTAGTAGAAAACATTTTATCTTTTCATACCTTTTTGTTTTCCCTTGTCTGTGCTGCGTGCCTGGGTGTTGTTTGAACAAAAACATTAAACATAAACACCTGCCTCACCTCCGTTCTTCTTTCCTCCTTAGGTGAAGGCAGCTTCCAAATATGTGGACGTACCTGTGAGTATTTGAAAATTGCTTTTCATGGGTTTGTTGTTTTGTCTGAATTTTTTTTTCTTGTTTTGGCTTTGCTTTGTTGGTGCTGTTCATTACTTGCTGCTAAACTGTATATTCCCCACTTGATCATCAGAAAGAGAGAAGTCAAGACCCTTTCGTTAGTAGGATCTTTTTTCAGACCAGCGTATGGTTTCCTTCACCAGGAAGAGAGTGTTCCAGCTGCAGGGTAAACCTAGCTCACTTTCACTTGTTTTTTTCTTGATTTCTCTGGTTCTTTTCTTTATGTTTCCATCCTGCTCACCCCGACCCCTTACATAAACATCTTAAGAGTAGAGCTCTGAGCTAGAAATTTGCACAAGAGTACCAGTATCTTTTTTTTATATATGTATATATTAAACAATATATATTAGTTATATATATATAATATGTATACAGTAAGTAAAAAAAAAATATATATATATATATATATATATATATTTTAGCTGTAGACAGACAGCATGCCTTTATTTCATTTATTTATTTTTATGTGGTGCTGAGGATGGAACCCAGTGCCTCATGCATGCTAGGCAAGTGCTCTACCACCACGMTACAACCCCAGCCCAAACAGTATCTTTTTTAAAGCAAATAAATTCTGAATTTGTTCATTTGGGGGTCAGTTCTGCAGTTGTTTTAAGGAAACCTTACAAAAACTGCTTATAATTAGTGCAGGCCTCATTAATGGCGAGAGCCCTCAAAGTTCACAGATAAAGCACTCCAAGTTGCCCAAAATTTACATTTAAATTGAGGTTAAGTACTATACATGAATGCTAAAAAGTATGGGATTACCTGTGATAAACCAGGGTACATTTATAGACAGACTTTGCCCTGCCTATTAGCAAAATAAAATTGGAGAGATTTAAATATATTCCAATAAAGGAGGGAAGAAAATGATTCTGTTTCTCCATTTCTAACAAAAGAGGTGTGAGTCTATTATAAAATATTAAATTTAGAGAGCTTATCTCAACAGCCACCAAGGGTCTTGTACTGAGCATTTCTCATTCTGAACGTGGTTAAGTACCCTCCTTGTTCAAATACTTATTTGTTAAAATTTGTTTTTTTCTAAAAGGATTTATATTAACATTTAAATTCATTTCCCCAGGAAGCTAAGTGTGTAATGGTTTATTGGCTTATTCCTCTAAGGAAGACAAAATGGAAAATTGGAGTGAATTTAGCATTAGCATATATTTTGTTTGTTTAATGAAAGAATGTGCAATCAATAATTATGCTTTGAATTCATATAATACTTCTCATCAAGGGACCTCCGACTCCTTCGTGTAGGCAGAAGAATGGAGAATAGAAAAAGCTCACAAAACCACAGCAAAGAAGTTAAGCAATTGGCTTTGTCAAGCCCTAAAGTATAAACTTTGGCTTCATGGGGAGTCTCTGGCCCTGGTTCTCCATCTTTAAAATGGAGATACTAATACCAAATTCAATGCAGAACAGGCAGCACCTGACCTGGCACTCAGCAGACATGTCATCAGAGAAGGGCATGCGATGGTATCAATGTCCAAAGTGCAAGTCAGGATGAATGGCTGACGTCAGCCCTGCCCTCCCCTGGTCTTCACCAGTGACCGAGATTGAAATTCTCATCTCCCAGTACAAARATCTGGCATGTCAGTCTGTTTTCTGTAGCCCTCAAAGCAGAGGAGAGATCTCCACCTGGAGATCTGGCTGGGTGACCCCGTAGACAAGGCCCATACATGGAGAAATTTGATCTAGCCATTGGTGCTACCAAGCTGTTAGGTTGAACCACATGAGAATGGCATTTTAGAGAAGTTGAAGGAAGATCAAGATCAGCAATTTTTAATGGCTCAATATAAGAATTCTTTTTCTCCTTCTCCTTCTCCTTCTCCTTCTTCTCCTTCTCCTTCTCCTTCTCCTTCTCCTCATTCTCCTTCTTCTTCTTCGTACCAGGGTTTGAACCAGGGGTTCTTAGCCATTGAGTCACAGCCCCAGCCCTTTTTTATATTTTATTTTGAGACAGGGTCTCACTAAGTCACTTAGGGCCTCAATAAGTTGCTGAGGCTGGCTTTGAACGTGCAATCCTCCTTCCTCAGACTCCCAAGCCACTGGAATGACAGGCGTGCACTCAGCTTAATAATTCTTACAAGCCAGATTCATATTTATTGTGAAGAAGGGGGTAAAATGGACTCTATATTAATATGAAAGTGTCCAGATCTCAGTCATTTAGTCATTTGTGTATTCAAAGTCTTGTTAGGATAGGAAAGCTCAAAAGAGAATTTTCAGAGGGCTGGGGCTGTGGCTCAGTGGTAGAGCACTTGCCTAGCATGTGTGAGGCACTGGGTTGGATCCTCAGCACCACATAGAAATAAGTAAATAAAATAAAGGTATTTTATCCATCTACAACTTTTTTCTTTTTTTAAAGAGAGACAATTATCAGTTTCTGCACTCTATGGAGGAAAAAAAAAATGAATCACTCAGTATGTCCCCAAATGTGATATATTTGCCATTGAAGATGAACAAAGTAATTAAGGTACCTATAACTACTACCACTGTATGTGCTGGGCACTGTTTTAAGCTCTTTATTTTTAGTCTTCACAAGTGCCCCACTTTAAAGATGAGGAAACTGAGGCCCAGAAATGTTAAATTGCTCCAAGCAGCACAGCCGGTAAACAACAGAGGTAAGATTTAAAGCAATGATCTTAAGCACTATGTCCTGCTGAAAGATGATTTTAGCACATAGACACCCATCTTTATTTGCATAGTTGAATCATGATTTTAGTATCAGAAAATATGATTAGCACATAAACCCATGACTGCACCAGTTATTACTGCTTAGGAACAATGTTAAAGTTTAAAATTAAGTTCAACAATGTGTACTTTTATAGTTCATCATATTTTAACATGTCTGATGAATAAATAATCATTTTATGGAAAATAGTAGTGTACAATACTCACATAGACAATATGCACATAGTTTTTGTTTTGTTTTGGGGGATGGGTTTTAGTCCTGGGGATTGAACTCAGGGGCACTTGACCACTGAGCCACATCCCCAGGCCTTTTTCATATCCTATTTAGAGACAGGGTCTCACTGAGTTACTTAGTGCTTCCTGGTTGCTGAGGCTGGCTTTGAACCTGCGATCCTCCTGCCTCGGCCTCCTGAACTGCTGGGATGACAGGTGTGCGCCACCGCACCCAGTATTGTTTACATTAGTAGATAATTATCATTTATTTCTGAAAACAATCCTATGAGGATTAATTAATTTCATCCTGTTTTACAGATGAGGAAACTGAGACAGAGAGGTTAAGTAGCATGCCCAAGTTCACCAGGCGAGTCAGTAGGGAGTAGAAATCCAGAGACAGAACTGTGGGTGTAGCTCAGTGGTGCAATAGCTTGCTTCATGTGAACAGGGCTCTGGGTTTAATCCTCAGCACCAAGGGAAGAAATAAAACAAAAAGATCTAGGCTCTCAATTTGATTGTAGAGCCTGAGCTTATAGAGATGGCAGAGTCTTCAGCATTAGCTCCTAAAAGACAATAGTACATGTCTCACTCCGACTCAGCCTTCAGTGACAGCAGTCTGGTAGCTCCCAATCAACTTTAGTAGGATCATTTACACCATGGGAATTGGCAGACCCTATAAATTGGAGCTTGTTTATCTAATTTTGTTGTTGTTGTTGTTTTGTTTTTTTCTGAGAGCCAGTTCATAAGTACTGGCTATCACCAGCAGCCCCCAAACCAGAATATGCAGCAGTAAAACTTGCAAAGATTTTTTTTTCTGTTTTTTTTTTTGTTTTGTTTTGTTTTGTTTCTTTGCTCATTTTTTAATTGGGATTCCCAGACTTCACCTCTAGCGATTCTGATTCAGTAGTCCTGGAGGGGAGCCTGGAAATCTCTTTCTAAAAAGATCTTCATGTTCATCTGATACATGATACAAATTTGGAAACCAATGAATAAATCAGTGATATTTTTACCTTGGCTGTGTCATGGAAACATCTGGAGAGCTTTTATAAGTATTACTGCCCAGGTTCCTTGCCAGACATGTTAAAACAGAATCTCTGGGCAGCAGGTAGAGGTGGGGCCATAGGCAATCAGTGTTTATAAAGCTTCTAGATCCTTCTTGTTTGCAGCCAGGTTTAAGTACCATTGGATACAAAGCCAGGCATGGTGGCGCATGCCTATAATCCCAGCAACTTGGGATGTTGAGGCAGGAGGATTGCAAACTTGAGGCCAGCCTCAACAACTTATGGAGACCTTAAGCAATTTAGCAAGATCTATCGCAAGAGGAAAAATAGAAAGGGCTGGCGATGTCGCTCAGTAGTTAGATGCCCCTGGGTTCAATCCCCAGTACCAAAAAGAGAGAGAGAAAGAGATGAAGAAAAAGAACTGTTGGGTACAATCATTTCTCAAGTCATGGTCCAAAGTCTGAGTTCATCTGTGCCACTCTATGAGGTTTCTGGCACATCATTTATTAGTTGAGTTCTGTGTAGGGAGTAACAATTACTTTAGAGATTTGCCTCTTAATTATCCCCACTAGTGGAAAGAAGAACTGCTACCAGTYATTCCAACCATTGCATAATCCCCAAAGCATCTCTCTGTGTCTTAGATATAAGATTCAACCTTTTGGTATATGTAGCAGATTTGCATTCATCCTCAGGGCTTGCTTGGGATGCTGAAAATTTGGGTTTGTTTTCCCCATGCTCAGACGTATCCCAATGGGGGCTAGCTAAGTTGAAATGTCCCATTTTTCCTAAGCCACAGAATCACTTATTCATGAATCATGTCTTCCACACGTGGTGGTGTTAATTGTACAGATATATATTTATTGTATTTAAATATTTTCTAAAAATTATGTCAGATTCTGATTCTGTCCAAGCCACATTTATAAGCTGTCTCTTAAAAGTTGTGTATGAACAGCAATGTAATATAAAGTTTAATTTATCTAATGGTATCAGTTTTCCAGTCAAGTTTATTTTTCAATTGTAAATACTTTTCAGCTTATTGTGTGTCGACAGTTTAGATTTTGTTTTGATTGGAAATCTACTTAAAATGCATTATACATCGTTTCTGCATTTTTATTCCTGTGTGGGGTTTTTTTGTTTGTTTTTGGTTTTTTCGAGGTGTTTTTGGTTTTTGTTTGTTTTTTGGTACCAGGGATTGAACTCAGGGGCACTTAACCACAGAGCCACATCCCCATCCGTTTTTAAAAATATTTTATTTAGAGACAGGGTCTCACTGAGTTGCTTAGCACCTCGCTTTTGCTGAGACTGGTTTTGAACTCGAGATCCTCCTGCCTCAGCCTCCTGAGCTGCTGGGATTCCAGGCATGTACCACGGCACCTATCCCTGGGTTTTTGACCRGGGAACTATCACTTAATCTTTCCTCAATGGCCCAATGGTGCAGGGCCAGCTCACCCTGTCCCCTTTTGTTCCAGACTCCAGTAATTAGAGAGTCTTTGTGTCTCAGGGTGCAGTCTGGCAGCCTTGTCCCTTATGCTTGGCACACCAGGGCAAAGGTCAGGGCCTTCTTACCAGCACGCCTGGGTTCCACCATTTGCCCATGCCCCATTCCTGGCCCATCAAGGGATGACAGACAAAACTCATTGGAAYTGAATGTGAAGCTAGCTTAAAAGGAAGGTCGTTGGGAGTGAGAGTCTGAGGACTATGATAAGAGAAGTACACATTCTGTGCACAGACTTTATTATTTTCATCTTGACACAGCTCCACTGAGGACCCTTTTTACATCTTGGGTCTCAAGTAGATTGAAGAAGTAGATAGGGCCCTAGTGTGATATAATATCAGGAAGGGGAGTCAGGGGCTGATGTTGACATTGCAATTTATGGCTTTTGAGACAATTTCATATACATTATTTTAGCTGATGATCATAACAATCCTTGAAGGTAAGTCAGGAACCTGTTATTAGTCCCATTTTACAGGTGGCATAACTGAGGCCCAGAGAAGTCTAATGATTTGCATAAATTCCAAGGGTTTTTTTTTTGGTGGGGGGAGGTGGATTCAGTAATAATCCATGCAGTGTGCCTGAAGAGCTTTGAAAAGGAGGTGGAGGTAGGACTTGAAAAGGAGGTGGAGGTAGGACTTGCTCATTCATTCATAGATTTGTTCACTCTGCAATTATTTACTGAGCACCTACTATGTGCCAGGCACTATTCTGTGAGCTGGAGGTACAACAGGAAACAGACCAACGGTCCTTTATTCATGTATCTTATGTTTGGTGGGAGAAGACAGACAAAAAACAATTAAATAAATATATAGTACAATGTTAAGCTATTGATTTTAAAAAAATATTAAAAAAAAATAAGAGTCAACAGAGCTTCTTAACTACCTGGGTGAGATGAATCAAGCTAATTTTTTTTTAAATCAGAGCTTTTTTAAAACTTAAATGAAATGCTCCTGTGAGGACAATAAGCCTTGTTGAAAGAAGGAATGATGAAAATAGCATCCTTCTAGATGTCTGTCTGTAACATCATGGGTTCCTGATAGATCTGCTGAACTTGGCTTTGGATCATAGCTCTAAGATGGCTGCGTGYACCCAGGAAAAGGCTGCATCTGCCACAAGTATCACAAGGGAAGAAATGGAAACAATAATAATAAGTTTCTCAAGTCCCCCAGGTAGGGGTCCCCATCCCTACTGAGAATGTCCTTTGATGTGCGGCTGCCAAAGAGAGAGGGGAAAGGTGCCAGTTTGGAATTGATAAGCTGACACTCTCATTGGAGAACCGCTATTGTTTCGTATCATAAAACTGCAACAATTATAGGACCATCATGGACCCTGCTCAATCCATTTGCTGAAAATTGCTTGAAAGTATAACACTTGACTACTGTGGCTTTGGGTTGTCCTCATTGTTTTTCAAATTAATACCTTGTCATTGTTTCAGCGGGTGTTAAGAAATGTTACTAGCATCCCGGGGGCCAGGGATTGGCCCTTTGCTTGATAATTGTTTGCTTTGTATGAGGGGGAAAAAAATATACAGTCCTACTGTTTCCAAACCTTCCTCATTTTCACCCTGGAAATTACACAGAAGTGTTAACTAACTTCAATTTGCAGTGCCTGACAGTCCCCGTCTTGTAGAGAAATGATACTTTGTGATCTAAGGTAAATCACAGTAATGAAAACTAATCTTTTTAGTTATTAGCAAACATACATATCTATTGTGGAAATTTAAGGGGATTGTGGCAGTTCTGCTAATGACCCATATTACAGTGTTTTAATAGGTTTCTTTGGAGATAACTTTGATTTTGACATCTCCAGCGGTGTACATCCTGAGATTTTTTTTTCTTCTACTTCCTTACAATAAGTCATTGCCTGAGTACTGGATGAACCACCTGCTTACCTTTCTAGAAAATCTAATTTATTTAAAAATCTTCCCCTCCTCCCCTAGCTTGCTGTGGTTCTTGGGATTTTTTTTTTTTTAATCTTCAACTTTAAGGCTACATTAGAAAAGAAAAACTA